GGCAACTATTATACTTACACTGATTGAATAAGGATAGGAGATCCCAAGTAGTGGCATAGTAAATTAACGTTTTGTACATTGTATAATCCTACTTACGCTGGTGGACTAGGAATATGAAGCTTCGAGTAGTGATTATTGAGTTATTTCGTGAGGGATCAGTTATAATAGTTTTGTTGATTCGCCGTGAGATTATAGGGATAAGATCATTCATTCAAGGCATCATACATCAACAAGAGAGGATAATGGGATTCAATACATAACCTGATCGTCTTAGCATTTCTGTTAAAACTCTTATTTTGTTTTTCGCTTTTTAACCTAGAAACCCCCTATTTACTATTTTATTTTATATTGCACAAATATTGTCGTGTTCGAACATAATCCATGTGAATTCGATCTTTTATTACTACGACAATATCGGTACACTTGCCGAGAAGTCATCGACATGTAATCTACGTACAATATAATCACTTCCACAAAGCTTAAGAATGTCTACACACCAATCATAATCACTTATAGAGAAACCTTGCTTTAATATAAATGATTCAAATTGCTTGTACCACTACCGAGGCGATTCCTTCAATCCATAAATTGATTTTCTCAAACGGTATACTTGAATTTTCTTACAATCATTAATGTATCCCTCAGGTTGATACATATGGATTTCCTCATCTAAATTACCATGCAAGAAGGTTTTCTTGACATCAAGTTTTTCTAGCTCAAGAACACCATGAGCAACAAAATTTAATAGCACTTCAATAGAAGTATGTTTTATTATTAAAGAAAATATCTCATTATATTCAACCTCTTATTTGTATGAAAATCCCTTAGGAAATAAACTACCCTTAAACCTTATATTAAACTACCCTTAAACCTTATATTATCAGACTTATTAATATCCTTTTGATATTTTAACATCACTCTCATAGGAATCCTATATTTTTCATCAATAATAACATCCATTATAATCATAAACTTAGAATCTCTTACACTCCAAAGGTGAAGCCTTTGATCCCATTTGCATATCCTAAAATATAACTTTCTTTTCTCTACTAACTAGTTTGTTATCCTTGACGTGATAATAGGTTTTGCATCCAAACTTTTTTAGTCGGTCATAATTAGCATGTTCACCTGAACACACCATATAAGGCATGTCTCCATCTATATTATAATGTGGGGATCTATTTACTACGTAAGAAGATGTAGCAACTGACTATGGAGACCATTCTCGACCTAACCCATAATTAGATTGCATACACCTTATTTCTTCAAGAAGTGTGTGATTCAATATTTCCTCGAATCGATTATGTTGTGGTGTGTCTCTGATAATCCAATGTCTTACAATGTCATCCTAATCACATAACTTCTTGAAAGCTCCCTCTGTATATTTTGTACCATTGTCAGACCTTATAGTTTTAAACTTTTTACCCGTTTCTTTCTCAACCATTGCTTTCCAACGCTTGAAAATATCAAATGCCTCGTTCTTATGTTCAAAAAGGTAAATCCAAACATACCTAGAACGATCGTTAATTAACAAATGTAACAAATTATTTGAAACCACCTTTAGAAATAACTTTAGTCAGACCTAAACATCAATATGCACATAGTCTAACAACCCCTTTGCTTTTGTGGTTGCTTGTAGAAAACTTCAACCAATATGCTTTTTTATATACACAATGTTCACAAAAGTTCCATGCATGGTGTCTTCATGTTTTTCAATAAACCTTTCCATCTAAGCAATGATGGACCCTTTTCTAACATATGCCCAAGGCGCATGCGCCATATCGTCATGCATTCTGTTTGATCTTTACTTCCAATGGTTCCAACAACTAAGTCTCTTGTAATGGTTTCAACTATAAGAGGATAAATATTTTTGTAACAAACTCCTTTCATCACATCCAATGAACCACATGCAAATCTTAAAATTCTATTTTTCATAGCTATTTGACATCCATTTTCCTCTATAATACAAAGACAAATAAGGGTTTTCCACAAATTTTTCAACACGTCTCACATTCATCAGAGTTCTCATTATTCCATCATGCATTTTGATTCTTATTGTACCATACCCCCATAATTTTATGAGCACGATTGTTTCCCATTAAAAAAGTTCCACCATTATACTTTGGTAGGTACTTAACCACATCCTATTTAGGCACATATGGTGTGAAACTTCTGAATTAAGCACCCACTTAACGAAAATATCATGGTATTTCTTTGAGACAGAGAAACAATCATCCTTATCATTTGATACATAACTCGCATTCAACAAATCTTGTTGTTTGCCTTTAGAGTTGTTGCCATTGTTGGTATGCTTCTTAAATAATACCCTCTTATTTAGATAATTTTCTTTAAAGCGTCGAAGCTCACCACATTTGAATCATATTATTTCTACAAAAGCTCTAGATTTTGATCTAGATTGTGTTCCCCTACCTTGTCCTCTTTCATTAGTCCTCCCTTTAGTAGCAAATGATCCTTGATCTTGTTCCCTATTTTCTCTTCCATTGCTCGACATCCCACTTGAAGCAACCTTTCGAAGATCATCTGATAAAAGTAATGTTCTAGTCTCATCCATTTTTAGAGTATCATTTACAAACATCAATGTTTGGAATAGATTTTCGCAAGATTCTGGTAATGAAAGCAGTAACATGAGTGCTAGGTATTTTTTCCCCTTGAAAATTGGAAAACAACCGTTGATCTTTCAAATCTAACTTTGCTGACTCACAGGATCAATCAGATTGATCCTAGGACATGTGCTAAAAGGTTTCATTTTCTAGAATCTGCCTAAGTTACACACTTCAACAATATTGGATGAAAAGTCTTAATGGTAGAATTGCTTATTAGACTGAAGAGAGGAAGAAGGTGGAAATTTGGATAGAAAGAAATAGAAATCTTTAGAGGAAGAAAAGGGGTCCAAGGCAAAGTAAGAATGCATAAAAACTGGAAAGTATGGCGAGAAGGTAAAGAAAACTTAATAAAAGTAAAAGGACAAAGTAAACTTCATTGAAAAGTAAAACATGGTGTGTTTACATCACGTACATTCTCCTTGATACTCTCTTTCTCTACACTCGGATACTTGGAGTAATTTTAGGAGTGACTTGTACAAAAGTAAATTACAACACCCCTAATTCAACCTCTAAAACTCCTATTTATAATAGAAGAAATAACTAACAATAACTTCCTAAAACCATCATCTTCCGACACATGTCGTGATGCATGAAGTCCTTCGCCCACTGGGTGCCACATGTCCTCTTAGTTATTAGCGAATGAAACTACTCCCTCCAATTTATTTGAATTTCAAATCTTTAAGATAATCATCAAGCAACGTCTCGGTCGAAGCATGACCCTCCGAAGTTTCATGATTTTCCCAAAGTCGTCCAAATGTTTCGACTCTTCTTCTTCGTAGACCTTGAACTCTTTGATCAGCTTTTATCTCCAGCGAGATTTTGATGCTTTCTCTTAAATATCTTAACTTGCAAGAGGTGTCGAATTTAGGAGCTAACAGTATTCTTCATAAACCTTAACATCTATATCCTTCAAGCCTGATATAATCATATCAAACTTGTTGACATAAACCTAGATTGAGATGCCTTCCCCCATCTTGTATGTATACAATTTTATTTTCGAGTAGACACAGTTTGTTAGAATTTTCGTCATGAAATTATTCTTTAACTTTGACCACACGTTGACTATCGTTTCTTCTTAATTTACCATGAGCACACCATTTCTCTTAAGACATAAGATTATCGTGGTTATGCTTCATCATACTCACATGTTTCTTTTATTTTCCCTCTAATGTCTCTTGAGGAACGTTTGTAAAATAAATAGATTTATCATTTGCATCCTCCAATAAAAAAAAATCATTTTCCATTGAAATTTTCATATTCATTTTTACCAAGTAAAAATCATTATAATTGATAAAAATTAAATAAAGTTTTATCACTCTATAATTTTACAATTGACACCAATACCAATTACTAAAGCCACACAAATTTAACTTCTAATATGGATATGTAATTTAGACCTCACCAAAGTTGAACAATTAATAAAATGAAGGACTAAACAAGTCAACTAGACATATCTTAACTATTTTGTCATCCTAAAAATAAGCCAACAATAAATAAGGAGTAGTTTTTCTCTTACTAGTTCATACTTGAACTCTGAAAACTTTACTTCAACTAACCTATTCCCACACTACTCACAAATCCGTCAAAGAGTATCACCACACCACTCTAAACACGTGACATTAAAATCATTATTACCACATAAATCCATTAGGTATATCTCTCTATCAATGTCGCATGCCAAAAATAAGTCATCATTGATTCCTCTTTGAATAAAAAAAAAAAAAAAGCAACATTCATGCAATAATAATTGAGTCAAGACAATAAAGATAAAAACATCTTTAGCAAGAATAACGTGGGAAAACAATTCTTGTTCACTCTTAAAAAGTTACTATTATGACATAGATACTTTGCTTTGAGTCTTAAACCACATGTTGTTACATATCTAATGTTCAGAATCTTTACAACTTGCAAGTTTAGTCTTGAGGTAATCTAAGATACTCTTACTTCTTTTATACATATTTATAATAGAAAAATTTAATATTCATGTGGGTCTTAACTTATACATAACACTCTCTCAATTATTAATGTTTGAGTTTTTGTCTTGACTTTGGAATATTTCACCATGATTGGTCTATATATGACTTATCATTAAATTTTTATAACCTCATAGTTAAATAATGAAATAAAAATTCTTGATTTTTGCTCATGCCTTGTTTTTTAATGTTCAGGTAAGTAAAAGTAAGTAGGTATCTAAATATTTTGATGTTTTTGTTGTGCGGTTTAATCTTTTTTGGGAGTTTAAGATTTCTAGAAAAATGGGTTGTTGTTACCTTTGTTGATGTCTTTGTGCTGATGATGTTGAAAAGGTTGGTGTTTTTTACAGGTTTTGAGTTCTGATGTTGGTTTAAGGTAGAAGAAAATCTTAGCTGCAAAAAAATGGAGGTGTTTGGGGTAAAGGGTTGTTTTTTCCTTTTGATTTTGTGTTTGTGGTTTTCAAAGAAAGTTATGGGAAGTACCATTGGAAATTCTAGTGTTTCTTCTAGACCTAGAGTAGTGAAAATTGGAGCATTGTTTACTGTTGATTCTGTGATTGGGAAATCAGCTAAACCAGGAATCATGGCTGCAATTGAAGATGTTAATGCTAATAACACCATTCTTTCTGGTGTTAATCTTCAAGTTATTTACAAGGATACAAATTGCAGTGGATTTCTTGGAACTGTGGAAGGTATTTAATTTAATTTCCCCAAAAACTTTATCTTCAGTGCCTATTTCTTGATGTTTGTAGTTTTAGTTAGAATTTGTTTATGGTGTAGCTTTGCAGTTGATGGAGAATGAAGTGTTTGCGGCAATCGGTCCACAATCTTCAGGAATAGCTCATATAATTTCTCATGTTGTTAATGAACTTCATGTTCCGCTTCTTTCGTTTGGAGCGACGGACCCGACTTTGTCCTCTTTGCAGTATCCGTATTTCGTCCGAACCACGCACAGCGACTATTTTCAGATGTATGCGGTTGCGGACCTTGTTGATTTTTATAGATGGAGGCAAGTGATTGCGATTTTTGTAGATGATGATAATGGGAGAAACGGCGTTTCGGTGCTCGGTGATGCGTTAGCGAAGAAACGCGGGAAGATATCTTATAAAGCCGCGTTGTCTCCTGGAGCGACGGAGAGTAATATTAGTGATTTGTTGAATGGTGTAAATTTGATGGAATCGAGAGTGTTTGTTCTTCATGTTAATCCTGATTATGGTTTGAATGTTTTTAATGTTGCCAAGAATCTTGGAATGATGAAAAGTGGTTATGTTTGGATTGCGACCGATTGGCTTCCTTCGAAGCTGGATTCGATGGAAACGGTTGATACCGGCACGTTGAAACTCCTTCAAGGTGTTGTAGCTTTGAGGCATCACACTCCTGATACTAATTTGAAGAAGAGTTTTTTCGCGAGGTTGAAGAACACGAAAGGCGTGGAAACTTCGAGATTCAACTCTTATTCTTTATACGCATATGATTCTGTTTGGTTAGCAGCTTATGCTCTTGATACATTTCTCAAAGAAGGTGGAAATGTATCTTTCTCATCTGATCCTAAGTTGGTTGACACCAAAGGAAGCATGTTGCATTTGTCTTCGCTCCGTGTTTTCGATGGCGGTCCTTCGTTTCTCCCTACACTTTTGAGAACGAACTTCTCCGGTTTAAGTGGTAGGATTCAGTTTGATCCAGATAATAATCTAATTCAACCATCATATGATATCCTTAACATCGGAGAATCAGGTTCCCGAAGAGTCGGTTATTGGTCTAACTACTCCGGTCTATCAGTTTTAGCTCCGGAAATTTTGTACACAAGACCACCTAACACTTCATCAAGCAATCAAAAACTGTTCAATGTTTTGTGGCCTGGAGAAACTATAAATACCCCAAAAGGATGGGTTTTTCCGAACAACGGAGAGCCGCTGAAAATAGCAGTGCCTCGTAGAGTAAGCTACTTGGGTTTTGTTTCTACAGATAAGAATCCACCTGGAGTTAAAGGCTATTGCATTGATGTGTTTGAAGCAGCCATAAACTTGTTGCCTTATCCCGTTCCGCGAAAATATATCTTATACGGAGATGGTAATCGAAATCCCGACTATAGCCAGATTGTCAATGAGGTTGCACTAAATGTAGGTTTCTAAAGGCCTGTTTGGATTAACTTATTTGAGTTTATCTATTGTAAGCCTGTTTGAGAGAGCTTATGGAAACAAATTACGATATGTCTATAAGTTGTTTTCGTCTTATTTACATAAGCTCTCCGAAATAGCCTATGAAATCAACTTTTAGTTTATAAGAAAACAATTCGACTTTATTTTATCTTCTGTTATAGAAACAACTTATACATAAACACTCATTTGATAAGCGCTTAATTAAACTATGTGTTGTTTTAATTTTATCCTTGTTCAGACCTATGATGCAGCTGTTGGAGATGTTACTATTGTCCCAAACAGGACTAGGATTTTGGATTTCACTCAACCATTCATGGAATCAGGGCTGGTAGTTGTTGTTCCTGTCAAGGAGATCAAGTCAAGTCCTTGGGCTTTCCTCAAGCCATTCACTGCTCAAATGTGGTGTGTTACCGGCGCCTTTTTCCTTTTTGTCGGAGCCGTTGTATGGATTCTCGAGCACAGGCACAATCCAGAGTTCCGAGGTCCACCCAAGAAACAAATCATGACGATATTTTGGTTAGTATTTTTAACCATTTAGAACCCGTTTTTAGCTTGATCTTTTCCGCATGGCTCGCTTTCGCGTGTTGTAGTTATTTTTCTAAGACGAGTTCCTTCTTTTGCAGGTTTACTTTCTCAACAATGTTTTTCTCACACCGTATGTGTCTCCCAGATTCTCATTCATATATTTTCAATTTTCGCAACGTGGTATAACTTTCTGATTTTCTTTATCGCTTTGATTTGGTGCAGGAGAGAACACCGTGAGTGGTCTTGGGAGATTCGTGCTAATCATATGGCTTTTCGTGGTTCTAATTATCAATTCAAGCTACACAGCAAGCTTAACGTCGATCCTCACAGTGCAGCAACTTTCGTCACAAATTGAAGGAATTGAAAGCTTGATATCAGGTACTCAACCGATTGGAATTCAAGACGGCTCGTTCGCAAAGAGGTATCTGATAGACGAACTCAACATACAACCATCTAGGATAATTTCGTTGAAAGATCCAAATGCATATGTGGACGCCCTTACGCGTGGACCAAAAGCAGGAGGGGTTATGGCTATCGTCGACGAGCTTCCATATATTGAACTCTTTATGTCTGGTACCAACTGCAAATTCACAACTGTTGGACAAGAGTTCACTAAAAGTGGTTGGGGATTTGTAAGTATCTTTATTTACACCTCCATTGTTTATCTACAAGCGTAAACACTCGTAAAAGTGTTTGTCTGCGAGAGCTTATGAAAACAACTTAGGAACGAAGTTTATGCATATTGAAGTTCTACGGTATATCATTGTCATTGCTCATATTTAGTATCATGTTCACAGGGATTCCAAAGGGACTCTCCCCTTGCAGTCGATATGTCAACTGCCATTCTCCAACTCTCGGAGAACGGTGACTTGCAAAAGATCCATGACAAATGGATATCAAGGCATGATTGTGCTGCAAAAGTCAACGACGACGTTGATTCAAACAAACTATCTCTTAGTAGCTTTTGGGGCCTCTTTCTTATATGTGGCATTGCATGTTTCCTTTCTTTGATCGCGTTTTTTGTTAGAGTGTTCTGTCAATACATGAAATTCATCCCAGAGGACGAAGAAGATGACCAGGAAAATCCGTCTGATAGGCCTAGAAGAACTTTTCGATCCTCGAGAAGCTTCAAAGACTTGATTGGATTTGTGGATAAGAGAGAAAAAGAAATCAAGGAGATACTTAGACAGAAGAGTAAGAAAAGGCGACGCGGCGAGAGTTTAGATGATCAATCAAGTTCACCTATTTAAGTAAGTAAATAACCATATATATGTATATTTTTGGTATACCTTAGGAACAGTATGACACAAATTATGGTTGTAAGATTATTTATTAACACAGTATAGAAAAATAAATATTTCATCCACATTTGGCTGATTCAGATATCAAAATTACCATCATCTTATAGTCTTATATTGCAAGTTATGATGCTTTTATAAAGTTCAACAGTTGTGGCCCTTTGATTAATAAAAAGAGCAGGCTAGGGACAAATTGACCACAGAGACATAAATGTAAATCAAAACATAGAAATTAAATACAGCACGTGAGTATATACATGGATTCTGATTTTTCTTATGTTCTTGTTCCCTAGTCCAATCATCTCACAAAAACTAAGAGCTACTTTTAACCTTGAACCACAATTTTACAGATTTACTATTCTGAAGAGAAAAAAAACATATCTTCTCACACAATTTTATAGATTTTATATTCTGAAGATAATATGTGATCTGAATATATGTTCAAAGTGAGGGGTAGTTTCGATTTTGTAAAGATCAGTAAAACTTAACCATGATTCTAAGATGATATTAAAACTTGGTTAAAGACCTGTTAAGAAACATGTTATTAGGTTTCCGCTTTCAGGTTCTCCATCATTTTATTCACACACCAAGTCTAATAGTAATGAACGTTGGGGCGTGTTAAAAGTATTACAATAGACAAATGTGACATAAACATGTGTTTATAAGTGAAAACAAACCTTATCTTACAAACTGATTTTATATGATTGAGTTTGATTCAATAACAATTCTATGAAAATATAAACGGAAGAGTTATAATCTATTTGACACAGCCATAATTTTGATTAAGTTAGTTATATCCTTTAATTATTTATCATTTCAATATTTTACCGTTAGTTTTAATGTTATTGTTAAATATAAGAAAGAGTTTGATTGTGGTCAACGTTGTTATTATATCTGATTGACAATATCATGTAGGCAATATTTGAAATAAAATGTTTGGTTGTGTTGTGAGACATTTTGTCATAAAATAGTTGAGACACTTTAGTAGAAAGTGACATGTTAAGCAAAATGTCCTGTATTATGTGAGACATCTTGTCTCGTTTTGTTTGCTTTGAGCGCAAGGATGATTATAGTATTTCTTGCAGTTTTGGAGAATTGTTTCCTTTTATGTCCAATTAGAGATTTGATTGAGTATGTGCGTTTTAGTTTAAGAAAGACTTCATTTGTATCTATTTTAGCAAAATTGATTTTCATATTTTAAAATATTCAAATTTATTCAATATTTGTTTCAATCAAGATTTACAATTAACATTTTTTAAGATTGATCTTATCCACGTTTGGAGGTTCAGCCGCTCTCAAACAAAAAATCCTATTGGGCCTTTGAGCTAGACTTCTGTTGTTATTTAAGGAGTCGTTCTCCTTTGTGAAGACTCACATCTTGCACTACTAAGTCAAACATGTTTAATTGTGATTGAGTCTTTGTTGTGTTTTGTTTTGTAATACTTTATTCCTGGGTTGTATTTCTAAGTTAGGAGAATAAAGTATTTGAGTTATATTGTTGTTTCATCTTTCATATATCTTTATAATTGTCCAAATACTTGGAAGAGTGTTTGAGTGAAAGTGAGAGGCGTCTCAGATTTAAGGGGAGTCTGGATCGAAGTTCAGGGGTAGTATTAAGAAAATATACATTAAACTGTGAGAGTTAAAATAAAACCAATTTGTAATTCTGACTACTAAGAGTGAGTGTTCTTTCATTGAGTTAATGCCCTCATACGAGGTGACTTTGCATTGAATTAAGTTAACAATTTCACTGTAATTCAATTTTTGCACTTATCCTTTCTATTGCGCATACATATTGTCATACACATATTCTAACATTGTGTTTGACATTTTGATGCCAATAGAATAAAATTTCAATTGGCATAAGAGTAAATACCATGTTTTAGTTGTGTGAGCTCCAAGATTTTCTCTATATTTTGTTCAAAATGGACAATGCTAAAGAATAAAGATATGTGAATTGACCACCTATTTTTGATGGTATGAACTATGATCATTGAATTTCTCTAGTCTATGGATAGTAAGACTTGGAAAACAGCCATAAAGAATAGGCTCCTCCAAAGGTTACAATTGAAGACAACACTGAAACCTTGAAGCTTGAGACATACAAGCCAAAGGTAGAAGATGAAGAAGCACTTGATAACTCTCGTGCCCTTGATGCCATTTACAACAGAGTTGACAAGAATATCTTTAGAATCATCAATACTTGCATCAATGCTAAAGAAGTTTGGGGAACTCTCCAAACTGCTAATGAAGGCACCTCCAAGGTTCGTATGTCAAGACTTCAACTCCTCATAACAAAATTTGAAAATATAAAGATGAAAGAGGATGAAACCATTATTCAATTTAATTTTCTTCTCTGTGACATTGCAAATAACTCTTTTGTCCTTGGTGAAAAAATATCAGAAGAAAAGATGGCTAGAAAAATTCTTAGATCTCTTTTAAAGAGATTTGATATGAAAGTCACAACCATTAAAAAGGAAAAAGATGTGAGTATTATCAAAGTTGATGACCTGATCGGTTATCTTATAACCTTTGAAATGACTATTAATGACAAACTCAAGAAAAGAACAAGAGTGTGGCATTCAAAGTTGATGTTGAAGAAGATGAAGATCAAGTAGAAGGTGATACTGATGATAATTGTCATACCCTAATTTTTAACCCCTAAGATTCCACATCATTTACATAAAATTTAACATCACATGTGTGTGTCTTTATGCATCATTCACCCATTGAAAATACAAAAATATGTGCTTTGATTGCTTGGTTCACAAGGTAGGGTTTGGACCTCCAAAAGCTCAAGCAGGTGAATTATCAAAGGATGAGTGTGATCCTCAAAACTAAGCCTTTAATTAATTCAACATTGATCAAGGGTCTCCTCTTATCAATGATCAAGTACAAGATGGTATTGAATCAAGATCAACAAGTCCCAAGTCATCTGGTGTATCCAAATTAGGGTTTTGACCTAATTCAGTCCCTGGGTTGACTTTTTTCATCTAAGGATAATCTTATGCTTCAAAACATGATTCAAGGACCTCAAGTACATCTTTGAAGACCACTCACAAGATCCTAATTTCCCAAGAAGCTTAATTCATTTGGCAATTGCAAAGTGGAATTCATCTGATACAAAATGAAACAACTAGTCAAGTCAAAGCCTGATTTTTGACACTTCTAGGTCAAACATGGTTTCCTCAAGTAAAATATCATGAAAATATGGTTTACTAATGCATTTGATCATGATCAATCAAGAAAATCAAAGGAAAGATCAAAATTGCAAAAATAAGGTTTTGGAAATTTCCACTAAGTTAAGAAATTTCATCATTTTTGCCCTACTTTCCAAGGCCATAACTTCCTCCTCAAGCAACCATTTTCTTTGCTCTAAAGATCAAATTGAAGAGCTTGTTCTATACTACAACTTTGTCCTGGAGGATTATTTCCCAAAAGTGGAGGTTTCGCTACTTTTGGAACCAAAACACTTAGAAAGTTTTCAACCAAATCTGCCTTGTAAAAGTAGCCAACTTTGAGGCAATTTTTCTCCATGATCCACATTGATTCAAGAAAAGCTTTCAACATTAAAATTGAAGTATATTATCTCAACTTTTCAAAATTTCCAAGAATATCCATTTAACTTACTTGAGTAAGAAGTTATGAATTTCACAATAGATTGATGAAGCTGAAATCTCAAGGACAGATTTGATACTACACGATTTTGAGATCAATTTGGATAGCTTTGCAAGCTTGATCTCTTCACTAGATTAACATCAAAATCATAATACACCATGTGCTCTGCAAGAACATAAGAGAATTTCCAAAATTCTATTCCTTTGCATGTGAAAAAAATCATGCAATAGTGAACTTAAGTTTTGTCCTCTAGCATTAAAGTGCAATAGTGAATTGATCAAAAACCACCACAATTTGTCAAAGAATGACCAAAACACCAAGGATCAAGATGCAATAGGATAAAATCAAGCTCAAAAGATCATAATTTGAGCCATGTGAGGAATAGCCTATGTATACCTTAGCACTCAAGTAATAAGTACATGTCATTACTTTTTGGGTAACGGAATGTATCCTAATCCAAAATTTCTAACAAATATCTAAAACATTTTTCTATAAATAGGGCTCATCCCCTTCATTCTAATCACACCAGAACATTGCAAGAAGCTTGTTTTCTCCAAATCCTCCACCTTCCCAAAATTCCAAGTTTCAAAGAAGTGAAAACTTGAATTCTCAATTCAAGGCCATTTCCAATCATTCTAAGCATCCAAACACTTCACATACATCATATAGAAGTGATACAAACACTCATACACCAAGTGTAACATCAGAACCACCAAGTTCATATCCCGCTTGCATCAAGCTGCAGATTGATTCGAGCTAAGAGTTCCAGAAGGTTTTAAACCAATTTGAGCACATCAACACACTCCTTGGAGGTCAAGGAAGTTATTAGCAGTAGGAAATTGCATATGGAAAACCTCTATCAAGGAATTTGATTTTCACTTGGAAGGTAAGTTTTTAAAATTTGAACTATATGATTCATGCATCATTTTGTATCATTTGAGTTACCAATCTGTTTGTCATGATGTAGTGAATAATTTCCCTATGTTAACTGTACATAAACTATGTTAGATAGGATTTCATATTCAATTTTCCAGTTTTAGGGTTTATATGTTCATACGTGTTAATTTAAAATCTAGGTTATATAAATGAAATTGGTTGGTATCATTGAGTTCCTGGTGAAATTCTACACAAGTTTCATCTTTACTTCATTCAATTTCATTGAGAAATGAAGAAGTTAAGAATTTGAAAAATGAAGAAGAAGTTGGAGCTCGTGGAAGAAGACATGCATGGTGGTGGCGCCATTTTTCAATATTAAATGAATGTTTAATATATTATTATTTCATTGCAAATACCCAATGACTTAGGCATTGCGCCATAATGGTTAAGTGTTTGGT